ATTATGTGGATAATTGGATCATTATAGATTTTTAGTGAGAGATTAACTATGTAATTAAGCATGTTTGGAGAAGATTGATGGGCCTCTCACGTGGCAGCAAGGGAATAAAGATTCTAAAGCTAATTGTGACTCTTACTCATGTAACAAAGGTGGCACATGTAGAGAAAAGTTTGGCTAAGTCATCAAAAGTGTGGGCCCACACCTAAAGACTTAAAAATCATTCTAATTCATTTTGTATCTCTACAAAATAATGGAAAGCTTCAGAAATTCATAAAAGATTAGATGTTAGCAACGTTATTTTGCTACAAAAATCATACAAGACTACGTAGCAACGTGAGAATTTCAATTCTAAAAGAGCACGGTACAATCTTTCTCGAGAATATCATACGAATGTTTCCCTACTTCGATCCACCGTTACATGTTTTGTCACGTTTGATGGATGTGGGAAGGATTTTCAAGCGAATCGGCTCAGGTATGTTAAGGCTATCCCTTCTTTCCTTTTGGAAATGATCCATACAATACAAATGAAACGAGCAAATGCACAACTTTCATAAATAACTCTATTCATTGAAATACTAGAAATGCTTATGTTCTTGATTCCCCATGTGTCCTGCTATTCCATCATCTGTTCATGGGTCTCAGAAAATACATAAGTTGATAAATTTTACTTCATGATATTAATCAAAGGCATAAAGGTCTTATGATATTTCGAAAGAATTTATTGACGTACTTCTCATGCATTGCTTCATTTATACATGTACATCGACCCATGACCAGATGGCGTTATATACGCGTATATATGTATATGAGATATGGGAAAAGGTTACGGCTTTATATACGCACCACCAACTGATCAGCTGGTATACGTTGATGATTTGCCCACAGTGGCCGAGATGATATCATGGGATGCCCTCTGAGGCTTGATGATGTTATGAACGCATATACCTATGCATAGTATGACATTTATACGCATATGCATGACATTATAAGTATTATATGATTCATAGAGCTATTCAGACTTACAAGCCCAGTCTTATGCTCCATGTTTCTCTCATGTCTAAAATTTACTGATTTTCATTCCTTACATACTCGGTACATTATTTTTACTGATAACCCTTTTTTCTAGGGACGTTGCGTTTCATGCCCGCAGGTCCCGATAGACAGGTTGAGAGTCCTCCAGGTAGGCTGTCAACTTAGCGGAAGGTGTTGGTGCGTTCCATTTTGCTCCAGAGTTGCTTATTTGGTCAGTATAATTAGGACATGTATTGATTGGTATGGCGGGGCCCAGTCCCGACCTTTATGTTACTTATGTACTCTTAGAGGCTTGTAGACAGATGTCATGTATACGGATAGTCGTATGGCCTTGTCGACCTATGTTTTGAGTTTATAAATGATCATGTTGGTCTTATAGGCCTGTATGTCATGTGTAAAAGTTTCTATATCAGGTTGGGTTGTTCTACGTCAAGTATTCTCTCATGTTTATTCTAGTTATCTCATGACAACCTTTTGGCCCATTTACCAATGATAGTACGATAAGAAAGATATGTTACGTTGGTAATGGGTTGAGTAAGGCACCGAGTGCCTGTTGTGGCCCTTCGGTTTGGGTCGTGACAAGGTCGCAGATGCGACAATATGACCACATATGTGGAAATACTGGGCAGATTCGATATATTTCGAGGTTTTGGTTCTTTTATCATATTTTGCGATTTAGGGCTCGGATTAAGACAATTTTTGAAGAGATTGTCACCATATAGATTTGGGTAAGTGTTCTCTACTCGGTTTTAATTATATTTCACAAATCTATCTTCATTTTTTGCAACTGATTGATGATTTCGAAAGAGAAATTGGGGCTTTTTGTCTAAAGTTTCATAGAGTGAATTTTTGAGCTTTGAACATCGATTCTGAGTCAGATTTGAGTGAAACTAGTATGGTTGGACTCGTAGATGAATGGATTGTCTGATTTTATAAGTTTTGTCGAGTTCCAAAGCGGGCCTGGGTTTTACGTTTTGATTGACTTTGGGTTTTTGATTAAAGATTCTATCTTGATCGATTGGGTTTGTTTCCTTAGGCATTATTTGATATTCTTGAGTTACTTTTGGCTACTTTGAGTTGCTCGAAGGTTGGTACGTGCGGGATGGTGTTTCTAGAGTATTGTTTGGCTTACTCGGTATTAGATTCGACTTGTTCGAGGTAACACTTCTAAACTTGGTGCTGAGGTACGAACTCCTAAATATATGTGATATGTGTTTGGTGTTAAGGTGAAGCACATGGTAGGTGACGAGCGTGTAGGCGTGCACCGTGTAAATTAAGACTCGATTGTTTCTGTGGTATTGTGTAGTTATCTGATCTTGTTTTTATCCATGAGATCTCTACGTTTTAGAGTAATTGAACTGGGATCCATGTTAGAAATCATATTTAGGCTATATGTTTAATCTGTTGGGACTCACTTATGTCATTTCTGTTGTTGAGTTATTTGCTTAAATTGCATTTACATACTCAGTCATATTCATTCATTTACATATCAAATCTCAGTCTCTGTTATTATTTATTGTCACATCATGTTGTTATCATTATTGGGACTGATTGACATGAGATTTATGAGCCCGAGAGACTGGAGAGATTGATAATTGAGTTGGGGCTTAAGGGTCGTCTTGTGAGTGATATTGATGGGATCAGGTTACAAGTCGCAACAAGTGTTATTGATCCATGATAGGATCAGGATGCACGCCGCAACGGGTATATTGATTCATGATGGGATCGGGTTGTACGCCGGAACAGATTTTATTAGCGCTTGGGCAGGATCCACCCCTTCGGAATCTAACATACCAACAGTGAGCGCGAGTTCTATTGATTCATGATGGGATTGGGCTGCACGCCGCAGCAGGTATCATACAGTGCTGATTGATTGAGTGTGATAAGTGGGAGTGCGAGACAGTGAGATAGAGTACTCTGAGAGTGTGAGTACATGAGTTCATCACTTTGATGCATTGCATTGACATGTATATTTGACATATAGGCATAAAGATTCATTTCCTCTTGCTACACGGTATTGTGACATTCATGCACATTGACATGGCATAGAGATGTATCTTCCTCATGCTATCAGAGATTGAAATATTTTATTTGTTGTCATAAGTCTTCGGGAAAAATCACAGCTTTCTAGTATACTAATATTTTGGTGATTTAAGTGAAAAATTTGGGTTTTACTGTTATACTTGAAAAACATGCCTATTTTTCCGTACCGTGAGCGAGTTGAGCATCAAATCTTTGAGTTGTTTCTTGTACTACTTTTATCATATTGATATGAGTTGTTGTTGGCTATTGTTGTTGGACTCTGACCGTTGTCCAAGCTCGTCATTTCTTTCAACCTAAGGTTAGGTTTGTTACTTATTGAGTACATGGGGTCGGTTGTACTCATACTACACTTCTGCACCTTGCGTGCGAAAAAATTTTGGTACATGGAAGACGTACATGCATTCCGGTCAAAGCTGCTTCTCGTTCTTGGTAGCTTTAGAATTTTTAATCTGTTCATTTATATTTCAAACAGATGATGTATTTATTTCATATCAGCTTTGTAAACTCTAAATCTTAGGAGTTCATGCTTGTACTACCAATCACTAGGAATTTTTTTTATAAAAGTTCATTATATTATCATTATTTTCGTCTCAGTAAATCTCATTTGAATTGGATTTTGTTAAACTGGCTTACCTAGAGGGTTGGGTTAGGTGCCATCACGACTAGTCGGATTTTGGGTCATGACAAAAATCACGTAGATTTTACTCTGAAATGAGTAGAAAGTCACTTAAACTTTAATCTCCGAAAAATGAGTAGAAAGTCACTTAAACTTTAACCTCAAAGATCAAGCAAACAATCAACCAGATTTTAATCTCGAAGTAGAAGTAGAAAATTACGAAAATTTTTAGTCTCTACGGGATGAGAAAATCACGAAGCTTTTAGTCTCCAAAATAGGAATAGAAAATCCCGAGGATTTTAATTTCTTTTTCATATGACTTTCCAACTAAACAATTGTACCACCCAAACATTTAACAGTTTGGTTATTCTTATCAAACTAACATATGTATATCTGTATTGGTCCAAATAATATACTTAAAAAATATCATCTTCATGATCTCAAAACAATTTTCAAGTATTAATGTAAGCTTAAATATCTTACAAACTTGGAAATAACCAGTTTGATATATTATTCTTATCAAACTAACATATGTATATCTGTATTGGTCCAAATAATATACACAAAAAATATCATCTTCATGATCTCAAAACAATTTTCAAGTATTAATGTAAGCTTAAATATCTAACAAACTTGGAAATAACCATCCACTTATATTCATGCATGTTACCAAATTACATATATTAACTAAGTAAATAATTTTGTATTCGGTCAAGGAATAACAAAATTACCCTCTAATCATATGTTATTCCTATTATCATAACATGTCATTGTCTCCTCCATGGAAACCGTTGTAGTTAGTTAATTACTACCCCAAATTGTTTTTCTTGGATATTTTGACCAGATTCACCTTAGCGCTGTCTCATTATGTGAATCTTCACATGCACACTCATGAAGAAGTAACAAACTTGATTTGATCTCCCAAATAATCTCCTTTTGCCTAGGGTCACGTTTGTTCGGTCGTCACCATTCTCTTAGCGTTACGGCAACAGTCTTTTGAGTGTATTTGATTATATCTTCATCTCTAACTTATTTTCCTCCTGATCAGTCACATTAAACACATCTTGACATATACTCGTCATGCATGTCTATGATGTCTTAAAGTAAATTGGTTTAAGCGGAAAGAAAAGCGACTGAAGATGATACAATAGATGAACAAAAGGGTTTTGTAATATGTCAAATGGTGAAGGAGAAATATTGCTTCTTCTGCAGAACTTTGGTACTCTGTAACCTTCTGTTAGTCCAACTCATACAAAAGGTGCATTTCCCCTTCACCTTATTATAAATCCAACAAGAATATCGTTAACGATGAAGTACTGAAAACCATTCAATGTACAAATTTTATTTACGCTTATATGCTTGGAGTTCATGACATTGGAAGATTGTGAATTGTCTCCCGTTTACCTAGCCCAAAAGATTTATTTCTGTACATTTAGATTCTTTCATGCCTCGTAAAGAAAAATGTGCATATTGTACACAGTATTTAGACGTCATTTCATAATGAGAACAAGCATCTACATCCCAAAACTATAATGAGACCTAAAGATTATGATGCAGCTAAATCACGAGAAATCACGAGTCTCGGCTTCCATGAATAACGATAAAGTGTGTACTTTATCCACCAAATGGTCCACCCGATCCCTCAATGACTGGACCTGAGGAATACCCAAAAATCTAGGTTGAACCCAAGACACGAGAACAGTCCCTTCCACCTGATCAATTGTTCCTTCCATCAGATGCACCTACAGTAAAACATCAAATTAGAAATAAAGTTGTTCATAGACTGACATGTAACCACCAATATTAGGAAAAGAAATAGGAAATTCACAAGCTTGAAAGCTAAGTGTGGCATCAATATCAAGAAGATCTGGCAAATGATCCCAGCATGCATTTTTTGGTGTATATGGACGGAGAGAAATAGCAGATGTTTTGATGGCATTTCAACTCCCAACTGCACCTTGAAATCCAAGTGTTTGATGAATCTGTTTAGTTGGAGTAATCTAGCCCTTATTAATGATTGCAACTTCCATGTTAGATTTTATTAGCTCTCTCACTATGGCTTAAAAGCCAGTTTTTTCCTTTTGGTTTTGGTTTTGCTCCAAGCTCTGACCTAGATTTTTTGTAGGGAAAAAGACCAAAATTGTACCTATACTATTGAAAATTAGTCACGTTAATACCCGTTTCTACTTTCCATCCAAAATCATACTTACCGTTAGTAAAGTATATAAATTTGTCCCTAACCCTAACAGATTTCCTATGTGGCACCGGGAACCCATAATAATTTGCCAACTAGGCAATTTTTTACCGATTATTTTAGAAACCCGCCCTACCCTTATAACCCGTTAATTAGTATTTTCTGAAGAATCTGACAGCAAGTCAGCCATCATCTTCTTTAGGACTCAAGGTTTTTGTTATTGATGAATGTCACTTGCTGCCTTCAAAGACATGGCTAGCATTTCTGAAGTTCCTTGAAGAACCACCACCACGGGTTGTCTTCATTTCCGTGACTACTGATCTTGACAATGTGCCGCGTGCTGTATTGTAGTACCTCTTCAATAAAATCAGGGATGGTGATATTGTGCTCAGATTGAAGAAGTTTTTCGGATGAGGATTTGGACGTGGAGTCAGAAGCATTAGATTAGATTGCTTTGAATGCAGATGGATCACTTCGAGATGCAGAAACCATGTTAGACCAGTTGAGTCTGTTGGGGAAACGAATCACTACCTCTTTGGTAAATGATCTGGTGAGTTGATGTGCATGTTTACACATTCCATACTAATTTCTTCAATTTCTTCCTTTTATTTTTTCCCTTCGTGGCATGAAATGGAGCATTTTTTTTTCTGATATTTCTTTCCTTCCCTAGATTGGTGTGGTTTCAGATGAGAAGCTACTGGAACTTTTGGAGCTAGCAATGTAATCAGATACTGCAGAAACTGTAAAAAGTTCTTAGAAGATACTAATTAATGGGTTATAAGGGTGGGGCGGATTTCTAAAATAATGGGTCAAAAATTGCCTAGTTGGCAAAATATTATGGGGTTCCGGTGCCACGTAGGAAATCTGTTAGGGTTAGGGAAAATTTATATACTTTGCTAACAGTAGGTTTAATTTTGGACGGAAAGTAGAAACGGGTATTAACGTGACTAATTTTCAATAGTATAGGTACAATATTGGCCTTTTTCCCTTTTTTGTATTAGGAGCAAACTGAACTTCTTTCTTGTACTCTTTGCATCTTCTCGATGCCTTTAATGCAACATCTTATTTAATCAAAAAAAAAAACATACAGAGGAGAGGTTAGATCTTAATTAAACAAACAAGAATCAACTTACCGAGAGGCTCTTCATTAGGAGATACTCTATATCTTCCACGTTAAGCTTAGTGTGCTCTGCAATGGCACTCAGTGGAATAGTTCTATCCTCTGCCGAGCGACTGCATGCAAATGCATTCTCCAAATGTTCAGTTCAACAGAAATAAACAATGGAAGTATCACTGTCTGCAAAATTACCATAATACCTGACAATGATCTCCATCAAGCTGAGAATGTTGATCTTCTCCAGAAGCTTTTTCTCATTCTGCACTAATGCTGGTTGAGCACTTAAAGCAGTTTGATGGATGTCGCACAAATCTTGATAGCGATCTAAATCACCAGTGGTTAATGCTTCAAGGATATAGTATTGCCATTCACCCTTAGACCCTATCACATTCTTTATCTGTAACAAAATCAAGACCAAATCATTTTAAATAGTTGGATGCATTTCATGGAATTTATGTAATACTTCTATGTATAACACCAACTTTTGTGAGATTCAATAGAATATATTCCTGATCAATTCCACTACTTCTGAATCCTATTTGGTGGTCAAAACTGTTTTTTCAGATAATGCGGTGCTATGGCTCCACTGCAGATACCTTATATTCAGTTTAATTTGGATATTTTCTTGATACTTTTTAACAAAATAGTCAGTGGGTGAGATGGATAAAATTCTACATGTCCACTGTAAGGTATTGATAAATGGCAATCCAATGGGCATTTTTCCTTCTAGCAGATGCCTAAAGCAAAGAGACCCTCTTTCTTCTTATCTATTTATCATGGTAATGGAGGCCTAAATAAGTTACTGGCTAGGTCTACACTGGCAATAGATCAAGGGCTTTAATGTGGGAATTGCTTCTTCAGGGAAAATATCAATCTCATCTTGCCGGATTGCATGTCAACCCAAGTATAAACATCATATACCCAGTCAATGTAGTGACTAATCTAGAACTCATGACAAGCTTGATGGGATGTGAAATCGGTGCTCTCTACTGCTTGCTTGGGAATGCCACTGAGGGGCAAATGTAAAGCAAGCGAAGCAGGGGGTGATTGAAAGATTTGAAAGGAAGTCATCAATATGTATAAGGCAATACTTATAATTGGGGAAAACAGTGACACTGATCAAACTGTCCTTGACAGCATCCCACATACCTAATGTCTTTGTTCCTGCTACCTTCCAGAGTATCAACACAAATATCAACTTGCCAAAAGAAAAAGGGTGGCTTGATGTGAAAGACCTTCATCTACACCAGTAGAATAGAAAACCAAAGCCTGTTGCTGAAAGCTGGTGGAGAGTGGAGATACAACAGTGAAGATGATACACTTTAGAAAAGGGTGGTAAATGCTAGGCATGGCAAACGGAGTACATGGTGTACGGTGTACAAAAGCAACTACCTATCCTTTTGTGATGGGTCCATGGAAGTTTATGGGGATGTTATGGGATGATACATGGTTGGGCCAAAACAAGAACAACCTTACACACCAGGAAATGGGTAACTCATGAGTCTTTGGCACGACAAATGATTTGGGCCAACTGTTGCTGAGTCTAAGACAAAAGAGCTCAATATAGAGATAGGAACTGCTGGAATCTTCTTTTTGTTTTTATTTTGGGAAGAGTTGGAATATCGTCCACCAAGACTGGGAACTAGAAAAACGTCACATTGCTGGGTACAGCCTGAAACGGAGGGGGAAACGGTGGGACCACTTTTACAAGTAAAAGCTTGCTACTGTAGTCCTAGCAAGATCTCATTCTAGCAAAACTAACTACACATGATAATCATATAACATAAAACTCCAGCAACTAGGAAAGACAGCAACGATAAATCATAGAATAGGCAGCTTAGCCACATCACAGCAAAGAAGATTTACAGGATATTTTGAAAGCAAACAAAACAACGACAATTGTGTACAACCTACAATTTTAAGAATAGTAGAGACCACCAAGGAAATTAAAGACAACCTTTTATTTTATTTGATATCCCTGTTGTATAAATAGTTGGATTCCTTTCATGAATTTATGTTATACTTCTATGTATGACACCAGCTTTGGTGAGATTCAATAGAAGATTTTGATTTATCTCAATAAAACAAAATAGAAGAACTTACAATTGGATGAGCAAGCAGTTCGCTGAAGTTGTATACATTGTCTCCCAGTAGTGCTGACAAAAACAAATCAAATGCCAGATCCTAAACAAGATAGAAAAAACAATTATGTAGAATAGAAAATCAAATACATTGACAGTCAATAATTTTCAGATGCATTTTCTTTACAAGAATGGAGTAACAGAAAGAGTTTCCAGTCACATATACAACCAAAATCCTACCAAAAGCTTGGAAAAAAAGGCCTAAAAAAACCCTAAACATTACTCCATGTTCTTTCTCAGCATTTTAATGCTTAGCAACTTCCCAAGTGACAGAATAAAGTGTGTTGCAGATATTAGAATCAAATTATAGAAAAAGATTCAACTACAGCACTATGGGAATGACTGACAATATTTTAGAAACTTAAGATCCATCACAATTACTAATCATAAATTTTAAACAAGGACCTTCAAAAATTTACCTCAAACTATGAACTGTTTCCCCTATAATAAGAAATATGTGATCCAAATTTGTGTATGGGACAATTAGCTATGTCCAACGATGGGCGTGTAATCTCTGTGGCACACGTCAATATGTGCACAATTAATTATTCAATCAATTATGCCTCAAGTACAAACTAGGTGGGGTCAGTTCCAAATTTGTGTATGGGACAATTAGCTATGTCCAACGATGGGCGTGTAATCTCTGTGGCACACGTCAATATGTGCACAATTAATTATTCAATCAATTATGCCTCAAGTACAAACTAGGTGGGGTCAGTTAAATAAACCCCCTGAATCCATTTTGCTCTATTCAAACTAATTTCTCCTATACTAAACAATTTATCACAAGAAAATGCAAACAAATTAGAAAAATGCTCTAATTTTGATAACCTATAGGTGAGCAGTTTATATAAACAGAAGAAGCAAAATGATAGTGCAGTAGTTACACCAGGAGCCTTACAGGTGTTGCAATTTCTGTATCCAGGAAACTTCCAAAAATAGGATTCCTACCTGCTCTGGTCCTAAGTTGCTCGGACCAGGATACAAGTGTCCAACACGTGTGCGGATCTAGAGATCGGATCCTTTGAGATATAAATTCTAAGATTTGAAGATACGGATCCTAGTACGGATACTGATGCAGGGATCCGACAAAAATAATTCATAAAAACAAAAATATCTGTAAATTATGAGAAATTTTGTGGAATACTTATGTATTGCTTGTAAAGTATGGATTTCTTTTTTATGCTCTAACTGAAGATAAGTAAAGGATTAATTTCCTAGATAAAGTATGCTACTTTCCTCAAATTTACCCTAATTTTGGTTTTGATTTCGGGAATCAAATTATATCGCGTCTCGGATTTTTCAGTCCGTCATGGTCAATGTACCCAAAATTGTTTGACCAAATCCAGTATGTCGACACGGGTGCGGCACCTAAACTGCCGTGTCGGAGCAACTTAGCTATGGTCTAAGAGATAGCTGAGAAAATCTAAGAAGCTATCTACATCATATACATTTTGCATGCTGCACCGAAAGGTTAAGAGAGATAAGACAATTGAATTTCAGCTTGCTCGTGTTCTCTTCTTTACTTTCAAAACATCTAAGATTCCTTTCTTTTGAAATGACCCACCAAATGCTGCCTGGTATGCTTTCCAAGATGCTCAACTGCTTAGATAGAGGTTATGCCAAAGATTCACTTGTCTCTTGAATACCACGCAGTATAACATGCAAGGAGCATAAAGATATTGAAAGAGTACTCTACAAGTAGGTTTTATATCATGGAAATTTACTAGCAACATTTTCTTTTATGGCGGTGGTGTTCCGGTCAGCTTGTACACCTTGACTATTCCAACGGGTACCTGTCACCTCCCACCAGCACAGGCACCAGGTAAATCTGCCCACCAAGGCTTACGCAGATGAAAAGAAATCACCCGGTGTTTTTTGTTGTTCTTGCTAGGATTTGAACCTGCAACCTCACAGTTCTCTACCCACTTTATCGACCACTAGGCCACACCCTTGGGTGCATTTACTAGCAACATTTCTTATCAAACTTCTCCACGATGCCAACAGTACAATCCTTATTCAATGTTTGGACTTCTGCGCAAAGAGATGTGATACCAAGAGTACTAAGGCAAGAGAGACCAATGTATAAAGGTCAGAGAAGCTAGCCAAGAAATTCTTAGATCGTTCATAGGATAAAATAGAAAATATGAAATGGCAACATACCAGCTTGAATGGCTCCGAAAGACTGTCCACTGAAGTGTATGCAAGATAGCGGAGAGCACTTATGTAAAACTCTGCAAACTCCTGCCGAGCTTTATGATACTGAGATGAAACCCAATAATAGCTGGCATAAACGGAGGGGTCAATATCAGTCATGCTGTCAAGTGTAGTCTTCCCCTGTTCTAAAAGCTTCTTGCAGTCTTTTTGATCCCCTTTCGCAAGCTCAAATAGGGCAATCTGCAACTTAATATAAAGTATCGACTCCTCTATGCGTATGTCTTTAGCATTTAGAAGTATCTCAACTACTCCTTCCAAGTACCCTATTGCAGCTTCTTTCTCTGAGTATTGCTGAGAAGCATTTACAGCAAAATGTGCAAGCTTAAGAAAATTGCTCTTTATCTCAAAATCAGTGATGAATTCGTGATACAGTTCTATCAGACTGTCATCAGCCTAAGAATCAAATAAGGAGACAAAAAGAAAGGCATTAGATCTTTATATAATGCAATAAAGACAACTATTGTAATTATGGGACTGACAAGGGATTGTACCATTGCTAAAAAAGGAGCCATTATCATACTAACAGCAAACTTTCCAAGATTCGTTGCAGCTGCTCTCCTCACCATAGGCATGTCATCTTGGCACAGTTGGCTATACATAATTATTAGTTCATTTCTTAAATGCTCTGGAGCATTTTGATAAGCAATCTGAAACAACCCAATGGACGAAGCTCGAGCAACATGCCCCAGGTTAGACACAGTTGCCAGTCTCTGGTTACCAAATCAGGAAGAGACCAAATCAGGAAGACACATGCATAACACATAGAAGATCAATACATTAACTTACATAGAAACTCCTTGGTATTTTTTTGCACTTGTTTGTCTATGTTTATCAGGCAGTCTTTGTTTTCCGTTTTGTGAATTGAGTGGGATAATATCTTTCTGTTAGATATTTTAAGACGGACTTACTGTTATAAAGCATGTCTTTCCCCTTTTAGGTTGATGTACTTCCTTCAGTTTGGGAGATTTTTCAATCTTAAAAATTTAAAGGACATTAAGACAGTGAACGTAACGAACCTTCAACAGTGGAATGAACGAATTGATGAAGTCTGTTTCAATCATTTGAGACCCTATTATGCACAGTGACTCAACTACCTTGTTCCTGACGGAAGACTTGTCAGCAATACAAAGGCTTTCCAAAAACGGAATTAATACAGCGGCATGTTCAATTCCTCCCACATACGGAATAAAGCCTCCTAGTTGTTCAGCCACCACAAGAAGAACCTCTTCCTCATCATCATCCAATATCTCCTGAATGAGAATAAGCAGCAACTCTTCGCGAGTTCTCTTCTCGCCAAGTAAACCGGCTACAATAGAGAGGCGCTGACAACAAATCCACCTAACAAGGACGTTCTCACACTGCAATCCAACAGTCACTGCCTCAATTAACTCCTGCGGCCTGAGCTGTTCAAGTATATTGAAAAAAGTCAACAAAAAATATGGTTTGTCCTGGTGTAAACATTTAACGATGACAAGGGATTGTACCTTTCCTAAAAGAGGATTCATTGCCCCAATAATTGAAAGCGCAGCAGAACGAACATGCTGAGGTGCATCTGATGAAAAATATTCCTGAGACCAAAAATTTAACTCATAACAAAATATTAAAAGACACGTTGACAATTAATAACAGTCAATGGAGAGTATGATATCGCAAAACACAAAACAGACAACATAAGTTTCTACCTCGATACAAGGAGCAATATGCCGGACAAGGAGCTCAGGACTCACTATCCGGAAAAACATGGTCAGCTGACCAGCCGCAGCTGTGTGGACTTCAGCTTCATCATCATAAAGCAGCAACATGTATGCATGGACCAAGTCCGTCCTTTCAAATTTAACAACTCTCATAAGTTAGACTAACACATAGCAGACTTGAATAAAACACGTATAATTAGAGCACCAAAAAAGGTTTGGGGACGTAATCTTAATAGCATTTTCAGTTCACAAATGACAAAAAACTCATTTGAAAGAAATAGTAGATTTCAGAAGCTTCTTCTAGATACTCTACCTATCATTATCTGTTGCAGTTTATGGAAAAATAGATGCAATGCAAAGTATGGCAATAGAACTTCTTCTCTGTCTAGAGATCTGTTTTCAATCAACTCAGGCATTCAGCTATTACTCAAAGCCAATTATCCTCTTATTGATTGGCCTTTCACCTGGATTGAATTGTACACGATGACCAAACAACACACCTTACTACTACCCTCCAGGTAATTTGGCAAAAACCTCACGATGGGTTTGTGAAGGTAAACAGTGATGGTAGTGTAGTGCTCTCACAAATCTTGGGAACACTGGAGCAGGGGTGATAGTAAGAGACTCACAGGGTGATTTCTTTCATGCAATAGCCTCTCCCTTAGGCTTCGGATCCAATGCAATTATTGGGATCAGGGGGTGTCTGGGGAATGGATTCATAAACATATACTTAGAAGCTGATTCCTCACTGCTAATACAATGGCTGAGCAACACTAATCCCCCCTGAAACCTTGGCATGAAGTTGCAAGAGCTCAAAGATTTGAGCAGGACGCCTGGTACGATGACGAGTATCCAGACGGTGGAGAGGGCGGTGGCGATGAAGGCGGGGACGCGTGGAGTAGTAGCTTGTACTTAGTTTTTGTCTTCTCTTTTTCTTCCCTTTTTTTGTGTGTGGGCGTCTTTCTGGCACTTTGTAATATATTTTTTTTGGAATGAATTGATTATAACTTTTCGCTGTATGTTATTTGGATCTTTTACTTTTCTTCGACCATTTTTCTTCAAATGATTGCTTTAGAAGGATTATGTCGGCATGTGCTACCTCGAATCATGGTCGAGTACATATTTGACTGGATTTGGTTGAAGTCCCATGTCGCCATAACTAACTCAAACGAAGTTAACTTGTAAATTGGACTCTAAGTCAGGTTTAGTTTGAGTTGAGTTCTGTTAGATATGTACATAATGTAGTCTTGTCCCACATTGGAATAGGAGTAGTATGTCCTTGTATAGTATAGCTATAAATAAGGACCTCTTGTATTGTATTGAACACACAATATCAATATATCATATTTTCTCCCGTGCCTTCTCACATGGTATCAGAGCTATAGTATGTGCATAAATTCCAGCGATTTCGGGAAGTGAAATCAGTCACCGGAACCTTTTTTTTTCCGGCGATTTTTCAAAGTTGTTTTGCGTCTGCTTTGTCTCGGTTAGTCGCAAAATCCAACACTACCACAAGAGTAGTCACTGTCCGGCGACCAAACCCCAGTGAAAATTTCCGGCGGTAGTGTAGCTGTCGGAAGAAAATTTTCCGGCGAAGTCCTGATGTCGCGTGGGCCACCTTGCGGCCATTTTTTAGCGACGATTCTTCAGGATAGATTGTTCCCCTTGCAATTCCGAGCCTACCCATCTAGGTTACACCAAATTCCGACCACTTTTATATTTTTCCGGCGTGAACAGTGATTTCAGAAGTGGACTTCCACCCATTTTTTAAAAAAGTTTCTTCAGAACAGTTGGGTCATCTGGTAATTCCGATCTTACCCCTACTGTTTTTATTTCATTCCGACCACTTTGAATTTTTTCCGGCTGCTACAGTAATATTCCGAGAGCTACAGTATTTCTGGCGTGAACAGTTTTTCCGGCGCAGAACAGTGTTCTGTTTTCCTACTGTAAACAGTGTTTTCTCGGCGATTTCTTCAGTTTTCCCAAAGGAGTTCCTAATTTTCACTATTTCAAGTTAACCCTACTACTATTAATTGTAGCAAGATGGGAACCGATACTTCGAATAGTCGGATGGTTTCTTTAGCGGATTATTTTGAGTTTTTTCAGTACAAAGCAGGTAAGCAGACATCTTCTGAGATAGCTTCTGTTGTTCAAACAGGTAATAGCGTGACTTGTGTCTCTCAATCTTCATCCTCTGAGTCTTGGGTCATTGATTCAGGTGCATCGGATCATATTTCTGGTAACAATTCTCTTTTCACTAGTATTTCATATTCTCAATCTCTTTCAAGAGTCACAATGGCCAATGGGTCTCAAACCATGGCAATTGCAATAGGTCAAGCAAGCCCAATTCTTTCCTTACCTTTAGATTCAGTTCTTTATGTCTCTAATAGTCCTTTTAATCTCATAGCTGGTAGTCGCCTAGCCAAATCACTTAAATGTGTCGTCTTATTTCTTGATGACCATATTTTTATACAGGAACGCAGTACAGGGCGGATCATTAGTACCGGGCGTGAATCAAATGGACTTTATTACCTTATCCTTGCTAAATCACATGGACTCACATCTTGTCTTCCTTCAACAACTTGTCCTGTTACTGATTCACCAGATTTATTACATAAACGGTTGGGACATCCTAGTTTGTCAAAACTTCAGAAAATGGTACCTGGTTTATCTCACTTGTCAGCTCTAGAGTGTGAGTCTTGTCAGCTCGGTAAGCATACTCGCTCTCATTTTCCTCTACGTATTGATAATCGAGCAGTCACCTTTTACTTTAGTCCATTCAGATGTTTGGGGTCCTAGTCGGGCTAGTTCTACCTTAGGATTCCGCTACTTTGTTAGTTTCATTGATGACTATTCTAGGTGCACTTGGATATTTTTGATAAAAAATCGATCAGAGTTGTTTTCTATTTTCCAGACCTTTCACGCTGAAATTCAAAATCAATTTGGGGATTCTATTCGCACATTTCGTAGTGATAATGCCCAAGAGTATTTGTCTTTCCCATTTCAGCAGTTTATGATATCTCATGGGATTATTCATCAAACATCTTGTCCGTACACATCTCAACAAAATGGGGTAGCTGAAAGAAAGAATAGACATCTTATTGAAACTGCTCGTACCCTACTCATACAATCTCATGCTCCTTTGCGTTTTGGGGGGATGCAGTTCTTACATCTTGCTATCTTATTAATCGTATGCCATCTTCAGCTATCCAGAACCAAGTTCCATTCTCTGTTATGTTTCCCCACTTACCTTTGTTCTCTCTTCCACCCCGTGTCTTTGGAAGCACTTGTTTTGTCCATAACCTTACTCCAGGAACAGATACGTTAGCTCCCCGTGCTCTTAAGTGTGTATTTCTTGGTTTCTCGAGAACGCAAAAGGGGTATCGATGCTATTCTCCTGACCTCGAGCGGTACCTTATGTCCGCTGATGTTACCTTCTTTGAAACCCAATCATACTTCACAGGTCCAGGTAATCACTTAGATATTTCTGAGGTACTACCAGTCTCTTCTTTTGGAGATTCAGTCACTATCTCTCATCCATCTTCCTCTACATCTCCAGCTCCACCACCTATAGATCCCGTTCCACCATCTATAACTCCAGTTCCACCACCTATAGGTCCAATTCCTACACATAATCCAGTTCAACCTTCTGCAGCTCCGCCACTCTTGACTTATCATCGCCGTCCACATCCAGCATCAAGCCCAGGTGATTCATGTCCCGCATCAGATTCTGCACCTGCTGCGGACTTGTCTCCTCTTAGTCAACCAATTGCACTCCACAAAGGTGTACGGTCCACACTTAATCCTAATCCCCACAATGTTGGTCTAAGTTATCATCGTCTGTCGTCACCTCATTATGCTTTTATATCTTCTTTGTCCACTGTTTCTATTCCTAAGTCTACAGGTGAGGCACTATCTCATCCTGGATGGCGACAGGCTATGATTGACGAGATGTCTGTTTTACATGCGAGTGGCACTTGGGAGCTTGTTCCTCTTCCTGCAGGTAAGTCTACTGTTGGTTGTCGTTGGATTTATGCAGTCAAAGTCGGCCCGGATGGCCAGGTTGATCGGTTTAAGGCTCGTCTTGTTGCAAAAGGATATACTCAGATTTTCGGGCTTGATTATAGTGATACTTTCTCTCCCGTGGCTAAAGTAGCATTTGTTCGTCTTTTTTTGTCCATGGCTGTTGTACGTCATTGGCCTCTTTATCAATTAGACATTAAGAATGCTTTTCTCCACGGTGATTTTGACGAGGAAGTTTATATGGAGCAACCACCTGGTTTTGTTGCTCAGGGGGAGTTTAGTGGTTGTGTATGCAGATTGCGCAGGTCACTATATGGTTTGAAACAGTCCCCTCGAGCATGGTTTGGTAAGTTCAGCACAATTATTCAGGAGTTCGGCATGACTCGTAGTGAGGCTGATCACTCTGTGTTTTATCAGCATTTTGCTCCAAATTTGTGTATTTATCTGGTGGTTTATGTTGATGATATTGTTATTACTGGCAACGATCAGGATGGTATTACTAATCTGAAGCAACATCTCTTTCAGCACTTCCAAACTAAGGATCTGGGCAAACTGAAGTATTTTCTAGGTATTAAGGTCGCTCAGTCTAGCTCAGGTATAGTTATTTCACAGCGGAAGTATGCCTTAGACATTCGTGAGGAGACTGGAATGATGGGTTGTAGACCTAGTGACTCTCCTATGGATCCGAATGCTAAGGTTCTGCCTGCCTGGAGACTCTCCTATGGATCCGAATGCTAAGGTTCTGCCTGCCTGGACAGGGGGAGCCTCTTAGAGACCCTACGAGATATAGGAGGTTGGTTGGAAAATTGAATTACCTCACAGTGACTAGACCTGACATTTCTTTTCCGGTGAGTGTTGTAAGTCAGTTTATGGATTCTCCCTGGGATGCAGTTGTTCATATTCTTCGGTATATAAAGTCAGCTCCAGGCAAAGGATTGATATTCGAGGATCAAGGCCACGAGCAGATTGTTGGGTACACAGATGCTGATTGGGCAGGATCACCTTCTGATAGACGATCTACATCTGGATATTGTGTTCTAGTAGGAGGTAATTTGGTCTCGCGGAAGAGCAAGAAACAAAATGTAGTTGCTCGATCTAGCGCCGAAGCGGAATATCGGGCCATGGCTATGGCAACGTGTGAGTTAGTTTGGGTCAAACAGTTGCTCAAGGAGTTAAAGTTCGGAGAATCAACAGGATGGAACTAGTGTGTGATAACCAAGCTGCTCTTCATATTGCGTCAAATCCGGTGTTCCATGAGAGGACTAAACACATTGAGATCGACTGTCACTTTGTCAGAGAAAAAATACTTTCAGGAGATATTGTTACAAAGTTTGTAAAGTCGAATGATCAACTAGCAGATATTTTCACTAAGTCTCTTACTGGTTCTCGTATTAGTTACATGTGTAACAAACTCGGTACATATGATGTGTATGCACCGGCTTGAGGGGGAGTGTTAGATATGTACATAATGTAGTCTTGTCCCACATTGGAATAGGAGTAGTATGTCCTTGTATAGTATAGCTATAAACAAGGACCTCTTGTATTGTATTGAACACACAATATCAATATATCATATTTTCTCCCGTGCCTTCTCACAAGCTCGACTGTGAGCAAATATAATTTTTTACTAATTCGAACGAAGTCAAACATGAGTTGATTCGAGCGAGGTCGAATATTACTCGTGATAAATTCGAACGAGGACGAATATGAGTTGATTCGAGCGAGGTCGAACATTACTCGTGATAAATTCGAACGACGTCGAATATGAGTTGATTCGAGCGAGGTCAAATATTACTCGTGATTAATTCGAACGAGGTCGATTATGAGTTGATTCGAGCGAGGTCGAATATTACCCATGATAAATTCGAATGAGGTCGAATATGAGTAGATTCGAGCGAGGTCGAATATTACTCGTGATTAATTCGAACAAGGTCAATTATGAGTTGATTCGAGCGAGGTCGAATATTACTTGTGATAAATTCGAACGAGGTCGAATATGAGTTCATTTGAGCGAGGTCGAATATAGAATATTATGCACTTTCTTGGATGATGGATCTGATGGAAAAGACAATAGAATAGTTCAACAAAAGGATGAATCTTAGTGAAAAGTAGTTCTTTGTATTTTGTCAAAGAGCTTATCCTTTTTGCAAGTGTTCTTATCATATGGAATCTTACATGCCTTTTTACTCCTCTTTCTTTCTATTATATGGGATATTCCCTAAGAACCCTAAAAGTACAAACAGAGAGGATATTCGATGGAATATTCCCTCAGTGGATCCCAATATAAAACTAGCCGTTATTTCTAACTCTACTGCTCGACCTCCACCACGACCGGTTGTCGAGCTGTTCGACTCATAAAATTACTGATCGACCACGACCACGACCACGCTGCTCTTAACGATTTCCATGTTACTCTCCTCGCCCAGCTCTGCACGACTTAGTCCTCGATATGATTTCGACCCATACACCTACAACTATGCCATCTGGTTCTAATTTTTCTCATGGTTATGGATGACATTTGCACTGTTATGGGAGCTAATCTACCAGTCCAAATCACAATGACCTCACCATCTCATATAGGACATCAGGTCCAAAACAGGCTCGAAGAAAGCATGCTGGCCTTTCTTTCAACTAACCTGATTCTCTTTTTTGCAGGTATTTTGCTTGGCAAGGTTCTCATTCCTATGGTCTTCATACAATGTGTGGTATTAGCATCTTTGATGCTCAACCTACTGAATGACTATCAATGGAACGAACCAAGTCTCTCTCCCCAAGCTTTCATTGACAGGAAGAACATAACCCAGAAAAACTACAGCATCACAGGCAACCTTACCAGCTCCTCCACCTCAATATCCCAACATGCAGCTCTGCACCCACTCTTACACCCTACCACAAAACTGTTACCTTTTTGTTACTTACAACACCATCATAGCCTCCTGAAACTACAATACCATCACCACAACACCTTCTCTCACATGTCCAACAGAAATGCACAAGCTACCAAAACACACAATCATTTGAGAAATGTGCAGACTCTCGGGAAAAACAATCTGAGAGCCTTTATTACCACTAACCCTGTTTATCTGTTTTGCAGGTACTCCATCTTTCTGAGAAGCTTTCAACACACAAATACCCCAATAACCAAATCACCACACCAAAACCCAAAGATGCTACCAATCACATTCACTCATCTCCACTTTCCATCAATTCAGACTATAAACAACAGCTTCAACT